TCTTTAATAGTAGTTTCAAGCATCATAGAAATACAAATAAGCATTTAAAAGATAAGCTTTCAATTGCAGCTTGTTTTTCAGCCTACCTCCATACAATAACTCTTTCCAACAGTCAAAGAAGAAACAAAAATCAGAGTGATTGGACAAGTCAAGGGAACTTTGAGAGTGTGGCTTCAAGGAAGGATGAGAGGGCCTGGACTGGACTCCAGGCATTTCACCAACTACTTTTAGTTGCTGATTCTTGGCTTGGTGTCCTTTCTAGTCTGCTCTGGTCCACCTGATCATGTCTCTTCTCACCTTCATGAAAGTTCCTCCATGACGTGCGGTTTGGGTTCCACTTGAGTTCTCTGCTTTCTGCTACAGAATCAGTACCCAATCTCCCTCTTCCCTGTTGCATTGACCAGAGAAAGTTGAGGGACCAGCGAAGGTCACAGTCCTCTTTCTCTTCTGTCTTGGTGATGGTAAGAATTCCCTGAAAACCTGGGGAATGCTAGGTAATAACCTGGGTCTAGTACAAAGGCCCTTCTGGCCTCCTCCCTTGCCCCTAGTCAATCCGGTCTCCATGGCAACATTTCTGGGGAAATGAGCTACATTCAGAAGAGTAAAATGTTTACCTTGAAGCACTGAGGGTCCAGTTGAGGTTAAATAACATAATTTATAGTGGATCCAGGAAGCTTGGTTAAGTGTTTCTTCCAACTCCAGTCAGCAGAATATGAATAGGAGAGAAGAAGGCAGATAGTGGGAGCTAACCAGGGTCAAGGTTTGCCAGGATGTGAGTGGAGATGGGACAAGGGGACAAGGGATTTGAGAAGAGGGCACAGTGCAGAGTTGAATTGGCAGATACAATTCACTGTCCAACACTGACCTGTACCAGACACCCTTTAGCTTGGAAGGACCCATCACACATGGTACTCTTTTGGTCCAGGCTTTGAAAAGTGAGGCCTACCTCCTTACCACAACAAGATATCAAAGGAGGACTTTGGGTACATAAAACCAGATTATTAGAATACATATTAACCAAAAGATTCATAAATGTGTAATGGGAATTGGAGAACTGACTGATATTCTGGGAATTATAGTTCTAAGAGACAATCATTTCCTCTCATCCTTGAGAATGATTTGGATAATCACAGTCTTTGAGCCAGAAGAGGAACTTGAATCATATCCAGGGGTTTTGGAAAAGATGCACATAGTCTGCAAGAGAAAAGGCTTAGAGGAAGAGGTAGGGAGCCCACGAGATAAGAAGAAGCAGCTGTAGGGGAGATGGTATCCTCAGCTCCACATAGGACTTTAATGATCTGAGCAGAACTAGAGAGAAATGAAAACACAAAACACAGAAGTAACAGATAAAGGGAGAGAGAGACAGACAGACAGACAGACAGACAGAGATAGACAGAGAGACAGAGAGAGACAGAGAGCCCTGAACTGTGAAAAATAAGGGAGCGATCAAGGTGGGCTGCTGTGTCTCTATGGGCATCTTGGAGCAAAGAACTGGGACTGAAGCTATCAGTTATAATCATCTCTTCAAGGATTCTAAAAGATTTACTTTCCCCCTAACTTTTCTTTCCCATGCAGGTCCAGTAACAGGTGTTATTCTGTACTCTTCTCTCTTCTTTTACCTAAGTATTTCCTGTATCCTGCTTTTGCTTCATATAATATGAAACCAGGCCTGGCATATGAAGGCCTGTATTGCATACTTAGTCCATGCCAAGATAAAAAAACAGGACTAAATAAGATCAAGTGTTGACTGGGAATACATAAGATTTAAATTAGAACATAGTTCCAGACCTCACTCCAACCAAGGATATAAGGATTTTTCCTAACTGGGGGCTCTGAGCTATAATGATTGTATTAATAACTCTTCCTTTCATATAAACTCCTTAAAACAACACAAAAATGGGACCACATGGAACTGAGGAACATTATTATATTGCCTCAAAGTTAAAATCAGTTAATTGCTAGAAGTGAGTATAACTGATTAAAGCTCCAAAGAGGAAGGGTATAGGGAGGAGAGAGCCAGAGACAAGATTGCATCCCAAAGCACATTCCAGAGAGGAGATAGGTATGGTCTGGGAAGGATTCAACTCTGCTCCCTTCCAGAAGGAAGAAGGAAGCAGAAAGGATGGAGCACTGTCTCCCCTCGAATAGTGTTTTACATACACAAACACACACAGAGTATACATTTCTTTCATGAAAAGAAAGGTGTTTTATTTGTTTATATATTTTGGTCCTCGTAACTCAGCTTTCATTACTTTTATGGTGATTTTCATCTTCTTTCTAACTTGTATGCCCTCGAGTGTGACAACAGCAAATAAATCAAGTGAGAAGCTAATACAGTCACCAGAATTTCTCCAACTTATCCTGTCTGTATTATGTTTGTAGGCAGCTGTATGATGCAGTAGATAGAGTGTGGGACCGGGAGTCAGGAAGATCCAAGTTCAAATCCAGCCTCAGATACTTACTAGCTGTAAGTAGTACTTCACTCCGTCTTGGTTCCCCACATCTGTAAAATAAGCTGGAGAAGGAATGACAAACCACTCCAGTATCTTTGCCAAGAAAACCCCAAATGGTGTCACCAAGAATCAGATAGATTGAACAAACAACATATCTTGTTGGCACATAGTTGTTTTCATGTTGTCTTCTTATTAGCCCTGAAGTTAACTTGATGGGGGTCTCCTTGAAAGGAGAAAAGGACCTCTAGGGCCAACAGCTGCAAGGTTTCCCTAGTGGTCCCTAAATGCATACCTCAAGCACTTTTGTGCAGTTCAAGTTTGAGCCCAGATCTCCCCAGAGACCTTGTGTGTGTTGCGGGAGAGATGGTGTCCCTCAGGGTTGGGAGAATGCTTTGTAATACACTCTTTAAACCAGAGCTTAAAGCTTCTAAGGGGAAAGTCAGGTCCCTGGCTGGGGAAGGGGGGCATTTTTGCATTTTAGTCCCTGATATACCGTTTCAGAAAATATCCCTCTTTAAAAGCTAATTGATGTCAATTGGCTAATTGATCTTGGGGGAGGCACACTGGTTGGGGGCTAGTGAGTGATAGAAACCCCAGCCCCTGATGAGAGAACCCCGAGAGGAACAGGAATCAGGCAGCACGCTGAGACCCAACCTGCGGTTCCAGTAAGGGATGAGAGTGAGTCTAAATGGGGGAGGGGTGCTACACTGTGTTCCAAGGTCCCTTCCACCTCATGCTTCCAATAGTCTCACCAGCATATATTAAGCACCTACTATGTTCTAGGTAGGGCAGGCAGTGGCAGACACTGGTGACACAAGGCAAAAAAGTTAATGATTTCTCCAGTAGAAAATCTTACATCCTTTGTGGAAAGGCTACAAGATGTACCCTAAGGATAAGGAAAAGCAAAATAAATACAAGGTAGATACAAAGTAACAATTACAGACGATACAAAGTTACGTTACGGAGGGGGAGGAGGTCACAAGTAACGGGGGTCAGGCTAGCTAGCGTTTATGAAAGACAGAGCATTTGGGATTCTAAGAGGCTGAGGCCAGAAGGGACGGCATTCTTGGGGGAGGGAGAGGACCGTACGGGACGCGAGGTGGGGATAAGCCTGTGCAAAGTCTCGGGAACGGAGTTGGATTGCTGTGGCCAGGGAACTTCAGCTCCTAAATTCTGTGTTCTGAGGCCTTTCCCAGCTGCGATACTGAGTGCTAGAATCTGGTCCCAGACGTTTCACCAACATGGAGGCATGTTCCCTGTCTCTCTCCCCGCCTCAGTTTCCCTCTCTAGGAGATGTGATAGTTGGGTCAGCTGATCTCTAAGCGTCCTCAGGGCTAAAAAGGTGATGCGTGTCCGGTGCCTTCTGCGGCATCTCGCGGGATTCTGAGCCCCCAAGAGGGGGGATGCAGAGGAGACCCAGTCTAGAGCCTAGGGAGTCTCCTTCTTTCCCGGGGAGCCCTCGGCCCGCGCGGGCTTAGGGCCAAGCGCGCTTTGGCCCCACGGTGACCGCGGCCGGCGCGCCCTCTAGCGGCCGCCTGGGCGCGCCTGGGGGGAGGCCCGGGACAAGGAGCGGGAGGCGGGGAGGGAAGGAGGGAGGAGGGGATGGGAAGTTTGGAAAGCGGCTGGGAGTTCTGCCTCCCTGGGCGCGCGCGCGCGCGCGCGTGTGTGTGTGTGTGTGTGTGTGTGTGTGTGTGAGTGTGTGTGTGTGTCTGACACGCTGACATGCCTCTCAGTCCCCGCCTCGCCGAGCCTGTGCGCGGAGCGGAGCGCGCTGCTGCCCCTGGCCCGGCCCCGCCCCGCCCCGCCCCGCCCCGCCCCACCCCGCCCCGCCCGCGGCCCCCCAGCTCCAGCTCCAGCCCAGCAGCCCCAGGGCCTCCCCTGCCCAACTTGGCCAGACCCGGCCCGGCCCGACCCAGCCCTGCCCAGCCCAACCTCGATCCACCAGGGTCGTCTGTCCTCCCGCCTGCCCCAGCGAACTGAGCCTAGGGAGTCCCGGAGCCCGCCCGCAGCCCCGGCGCCGGCCCCGGCGAGCGGCAGCAGCATGGCGGAGCGGTCGGGCCCCTGAAGTTGGGGAGGGGGCGTCCGGGCGGCCCGGCCGCGGGGGTCGAACAGACGGCCGCTCGGCCGGTACCCCGGCGCCCCCGCCCCCAGCCCCGGGCCGCCCCGCCCCGCCCCCGCCCCGCACTTGTTCCGCGCAGCCCGCCAGCCCGCCCGGCCCCTAGCCCGCAAACTCGCCCCGAAGGAGTGAAGCGGGCAGGCAGGCAGGCGAGCAGGGAACACTGAGCCCGGGGCCGGCCGGGCTGAGGGACGGAGGGGCAGGGACCCAGGCGCCCCTCCCCGGAGCCCGGAGCATCCCTGGGCCGGCAGCGGGGCTCCAGGCTGGGCTGGATTCCGAGAGGGGCGCCGTGCCCCTCTCTGCTCCCACTCCGTGCCCTCGCTTCGCGTCCGCCCTGTGCCCCATCTCCGTGTCCTCGCTCCGCGCCCTGCCCCGTGCGCTCCGGCCCGTTCCGGGACAGACTGACCGATAAGGGGACGGAGAGCGGCACGATGCCCGGGAGCTTGGCGGGACTCGGGCTGGGGCTGGCGCTCGCCTTAGCCCTGCTGCTGCTGCTGCTGCTGCGCGGAGCCTGCTCCGGGTCCGGGGAGCCGCTGGACGCCGGAGGACAGTGCCGGCCGCCTGGATCGGTGAGGCGCCCTGCCCTCGCAGCCGCCGGGCCAGCGGGGTTCCTTCCTATTCCCCCCAGCCCTAGCTCCCTGCCCCAATTTATGCCCCTGCAGGGTGGACGGCTTGAGTGAGGGCCCACTGGGGGGCTTTCCTCCCACTCCCTTCAACCTCCTCCCAACTTTGCTCATAGCCTGGGCCAGCAGCACAGGGATGTCTCTCTTTCCTCCGGCCCTCCAATCCCTTTGACCCCATCCCAACTTTTCTCTTAGCCTGGGCTGGCACTAACATAGGGATGTCTTTCCTTGCTCTAGTCTCCCCCTCCACCCCCAACTTCCCTTCCCGAGTGAAACACAAATCCCACCCTAAAGCCTACCCCAGCCTGGCTCTGAGGGGCCTGGGCTGTGAGGGTTCGCTTTCCTCCTCAGTCTGGTTTCTGGACTGATCCCTTTTCCCCAGTCCTGTTCCCCACATACACAGCTTCTCCTCTCCTGGCAAATTCCTTTTGCAGCCTAGACCTTCTCTGACCTGGGCCTGTCTCTCCTCTCCTCTAGTACCCTTGCTCTCCTCTATTGCCCGCATACCCAGACTTTGGGTTCCCTTTCCATAAGGGCTTGGGGATGGGGCCCGGCTTTCGCCTCTCTGTTCTTCCTTCCCAAAACCTTCCCTTAGGACAGAACTCTGACCTTCTCTCTGTTTTCCTCCTCTCCACTTCCCCAGTCATTTCCCTTCTGTGCCAACCACAGGCAAGGTTTTCTTTCTTTCCTCCTCCCCCCATCCACCTACCTTCCCTTCCTGGCCCTGGGCCTGGCTCCTGCCCTTTTCTTCAGCTAGGGGAGGAATGGCCACTCACACTTTCTTGGTCTTTTCCTAGAGTGGGGTTGGGGTGGGAAAGAGAGGCTTTCAAAGGGAAGAGCCCCAGAGCTGGGGCAGTCTAGGACAGTGCTTTCTAGCAGACCATTCTAAGGTCCTTTCCTCCCAGCTGTCTGTGGAGGTATTGCCCTGGGCCAGACTCAGCCTTGGGTTTTTCAAATGACCATTTGAAGGGCTTAGTGAATAACACTTGGGACCTGGAGTCAAAAAGATCTGGGTTCAAATCTTGCTTCAGAGATTTATTAGTTTTATAACCCTGAGCAAATCATTTTATTTTACTGGGCCTGTTTTGTCCTTTGTAAGTTGGGGCTGGACTAGAAGGCATCCAAGGTTCCTTCCAGCTCTAATATACGATCCTGTGTTGGGGAGGGGCCTCCAAAAAGGTTTGGAGAGGATTCCAGTCTGGGAGGGTGGAAAGAACACCAAACCTGGGTTCCAACCAATTCTGTGTGACCATGGGCAAGTCTCCTGGTTATCCTGAGCCTCCTCTTCCTCAGCTGTAAAGTGGGCATACTTATCTCTGCCCAACTCACAAGGCTGTTCTGGGGATCAGATGAGATCCTTGATATATATGCAAGGTGCTTTGTAACTAGAGTTACTGGAAATGGAATTGTTGTCATCTCCACCCCTCACACCCCTCACCCACTCCCACCAAAACCCATGGGCCCAAGATACAAGATGGATCACTCAGTCTTCCCTCCCTCCCTTTCACTAGAATTGCAGGGTTTTAGAACCTGGAGAAACCTTATGGGGGAGGGCTGGGGTTGGGGGGGAGGTGTCTGTAGGTGGGTAAAGGCTCTGCAGGAGAAAGGGTTTGCTCTACGTCTGTGCGGTGCTGGTAGCGGACCTAGGAGCCATGGCCAATGGATTCCTATTCCTACCATGAAAAACAAAACCCACAAAATTCTAAGCCCCAAACCCATCGTAGAAAAAATATATTCTGTCTTTCTCTCCCCACCCACACCATCCCTGGAAAAACCCTGAGAGGTGTGGGATCCAGAATACGAAGGCAGAGATTATAGGATTAGAGTTAGGAGGGACCTCAGAGACCTATTTTTCAGAGAAGGAAACTGAGGCCTAGGGAGTTTACAGTAGAAATTGACTTGGATCTTGGGAACAAGAGAAACCTTTCTTCTTTTTTTTTTTTTTTGGAGGGGTGGAGAATATAAATCACAAAAGTCACTTCCTCTCTTAGTGCCTCAGTTTCCTCATCTATTAAATGGAGATAATGATTCTTGCATCCCTTACTTTGGTAGCTAGTTTTGAGGAGAGAACTTTGTAAACTTGAAAGTATTGAAGAAATATCCTGAGTATTATTCTTATTTATGCTGATGGTTGGCTATGTTGCTAGAATGGCAGCTGCGTGAGGGCAGGGAATGGTTTGTTTTCATCTCTGTATCCTCAGCACCTAGCACAGTGCTCGGCACACAGTAGGTGCTTTATCAGTGCTTATACCCTTTTCATTTGCTCAGCATTTTCATGTCCCCTAGTAGCTGCTGATCTTCCTAGAAGCCCCCATGAAAATCTCAGAGCCTTGGAGCTAGAAGAGCCCTCTCTGGTGTCTGGTCTAACCTTTACCTGAGGTCATCAGCCATCTCCTTCCTTCCTCCCCCTTCTCTCTTCCCAACCCATAAATTGAGCCTCAATAAGCAGGGGCTTCATTTTGAAGTTATCTCAGCCTCCTGCATATAGACTAGGTATCTTCTTCTTAGAGATCATCTCGTCCCCCCCTCTTACTTCACAGATTTGGAAAGAACTTGCCCGAGTTTACTAGTAAGTTCTTGGAGTCATAAAGACCAAAGCTATAGACCTGCCTGCTCTCACAGGGGCCATCTGTGACTTCTTCTCATGGTCCACCCTCCTGAGCTCTAGCCATGTGACATAGGCTGAGTCTCTCTCAAAGCCACAGTTTTTCCATCTGTAAAATGGGGATAATAACATGTGTACTGTGTACTCCTGAAGAGCAGGGAATGTTTTTCTTTCTTTGCATCTCCATCTATTAGTCTTGTGCATAGAACATAGTAGGTGCTTCATAAATGCTAATTGACTAACTGAATATTGTGAAGATCAAAGCACTTTGTACCTTTTAGTGGGCAATGGAAAATGGACATTATTTAACCGGTAAAATAAGGATCCTAAGATGTGCCCCTCAGAGCTCCGTGATGGGGTTCAAATGAGCTAATGGAATGATTCTTCAAGGGCAGAGCCATTTCCTTTTTGAGTTGTGTCTCCAGTGGCTGGCACAGTGTCTGGCATACAGAAGGCATTTAATAAATGCTTGATGCTTAGTTGGGTGTTAGAGACTTGTCAACTGCTCTTATTGTTATTCTGATCACCTGGTCTCATCTCTTCTCTTTTTCCTGGCCTGGGTAGCAGGGAGACCTGAACTCATTTCTCTGGACCATTCATCGGGACCCTCCTGCCTACCTGTTTGGCACCATCCATGTTCCATACACACGAGTCTGGGACTTCATCCCAGACAATTCGAAGGCAGCATTTGAGGCCAGCGCCCAGGTCTATTTTGAGCTCGACCTCACTGACCCCTACACCATTTCAGCCCTGGCCAGCTGCCAGCTGCTGCCTCATGGTGAGAACCTGCAGGATGTGCTGCCCCGGGAGCTCTACAGGCGTCTCAAGCGCCACTTGGACTATGTGAAGCTCATGATGCCCACCTGGATGACGCCCGACCAGAGGGGCAAAGGCCTGTATGCCGATTACCTGTTTAATGCCATTGCTGGTAACTGGGAGCGCAAGCGTCCAGTCTGGGTGATGCTCATGGTGAACTCACTCACTGAGACCGATGTGCGCTCTCGAGGCGTCCCCGTGCTGGACCTCTACCTAGCGCAGGAGGCCGAGCGCATGAAGAAGGGGACGGGAGCCGTGGAGCGGGTTGAAGAGCAGTGTCACCCACTCAATGGTCTCAACTTCTCCCAGGTAGGATTCCAGCCGGCACTTGAGTGTTTGGCTTTTCTTTTGTCCCTCCTGAAGACCAGATGAAGTCCCCTGTCCTCCGGGAGAGGACAGGGCAGCAAGCTGTCCTGGGGGTGGAGAGCCTGACCAGCCTCGGGGGCAGCTGGAGGCCATGGGACTGAGGACATGATAGGAGTGACTTTGGAGGGGGACAGAAGCTGGCACAGAGGACAGCTTGGCCTGGGGTTTCAGCATCCTGGGGGAGGGGAGAGAATAATTGGCTTCTGGGTTTGGTCTCCTGGGTTCCCTAAGCCAAGAGAATATTTATTTTGAGCCCTGTAAATGAGGGAGCCAGGAGTGTAGGTTTGAGTATGTAAATCCTAGGAGCTGGGCAGGTCAGCGGCAGGGGCTGCACAGGCACCTAAGCCCAGGCTGAGGCTGGGGGTGCTGGTTGGGGCTCCAGGGCATATTAGTTGTCCGTGGGCTGCTCTTATTGCCTAGTTGGGTGCCCCCAGTTGTCCTGGAGTAGCTTTTACCATGGTTGCTAAAGGAGGAGATAGCAACCAGCATTTCTGGGTTAATGATTCTGAGAGAAGAGTGGAAAAATGTGTGAGCTCAGGAACCCACTTTTGATTTCTGAACCCAGCTAAGGGAAGGTGAGGCCAACGGCACAGCATGTCCTAAGAGGCCTATTTAAAATCCCTGTAGCCCTAAGTGGGTAACATGGCGTTCCTTTCTCCACCACCTTGCTTCTCCAGTGGGCAGAGGTCAATTGGCTGGGGAAGGGAGCCCTTCAGCTCCACCTTTGCCCTGGGAGCAGCCCCTGCAAAGCTGGGTACAGGGCTTAGGCCCTAATAGGGTGAGCAGAGCCTCTGCCCCTCAATACGGTCTGGCTTGGTAATGATAACACAGAAAGTCTGCTGAATCTGGGGCGAGGCCCCGACCCGCCAGAGGGGTGGGGCCCTGGTGGGGAGGTTACAAGCTTTTAACCAGGGAAACAGGGGAAGAAAGTGATCCCTCCTGGGGGAGCTCAGGCTTTTGTTATCCCAGAGAAAAATTCAGCATTTTCCTTGGGGAAGCAAAGAGAACAGATTACTTTGCTAGGCCAAATGAAAGGCGACTTTGTGCTGTGTGACCAGCTGCCCCCCAGCTGGAGCCTGTGGCCAGGGCCATGTCAGGCCAGAGGAGCTGGGTCACCCCAGGCTGATTCTGGGCTGGCTTTGGCTCTGGCATGCTTCTTAGGTGGAAAATATTTTGCCTTCTCCAGGTTTGCTCCGTTCTGTTTTCTGCAGGCATCCTTGGCTCTGACGGTTGTTTTCAATATTGTGAAAATGGGTTGAGAGTTAGAGGATGTGGGTTCATGTGGCAGTTCTGTTGCTCAGGAACTGTGTGACCTTAGGACAGTTTCTTTCCCTCTCTGGGCCTCAGCTGGTTTAGAGGTGATGGATATGGTGGTCTCCAAGGACCTGCTTAGCTCAGAATCCTCTGACCCTGGGATGGACATTTGGATTCTATCCCACACAGTTAGCTCTCTACCTTTTTTCTGGCGTGGAGGCCACCTGGTGGGGACGGGGAGGTTTCCAGCAAGAAGTCTTGGCCTGTTTGGGGTTCCTTTTCTATGAGAGATCAACGTCCCCCATTATAGAAGGGGCAGGGATTATTCTAGAGGCCCAGGAACAGTGAGAATTCTTCCATGAAATGGCTCCAGGCTTTAAGTGGGTTCCTTGAAAGCAGAATTCAGTTGTGTACGGGTATGAAGGTCAGAGTTGGGAGGGCCCTTATAACAGAGAACAGCGAAGGTCAGAGCTGGGAAAGCCCTTCGAACATTGAACAGGGAAGGTCAGAGATGGGAATCCCTTAGAACAGAGAACAGGGAAGGTCAGAGTTGGAAGGGCCCTTAGAACAGAGAACAGGGAAGGTTAGAGATGGAGATTCCTTAGAACAGAGAATAGGGAAGGTCAGAGATAGGAATCCCTTAGAACAGAGAATGGGGAAGATCAGGGCTGGGAGGGCCCTTAGATCAGAGAACAGGGAAGGTTGGAGATGGGGATTCCTTAGAACAGAGAATAGGGGAGGTCAGAGATGGGGGGCCCTTAGTATATAGGATATGCAGTGTAAGAGCTGAGAGGGCCCTTAGACATTACATCCACTCCCCTCATTTGACAGAGGAGAAAACTGAGGCCGGGAGAGGGGAAATGAAGTTATGGAGGGCAGACACCGGGTCTCCCCTCCCCTAGCCCACCAAGTGGGCACATCCAGCCCCTGGGTCCCTGGCTAGGCTGCAGGAGCAGGGAGGGGCGGGCACCCCTAGCCAGACAATCTTTCGGCTGCCTAATCTTTGAAGCCTTCACCACCTGTGAAAGGATCCGCCCGGGCCAATTTGTCCTGTTATCGTTCTGGAGAGAGGTGCTGAAATCTGCCCTCCATCCTCAGAGGCTGATGTGAAGCTAAATCAGGAAGAAGCAATTACTGGCCCTGGGTGGGTGTATGGCTGGCCAGCGAAGCATCTTGAGAGAGCCAGGAATGCAAAACCCTTCGTGTATGTGTGTGTGCATGTATGTGTGTGTGTTTGTGTGTGCGTGTGTGTGCGCGCGCGAGCTCGGGTGTGTGTGTGCTAGCGCTCGTGCCCGCAGCCCCGCGTGTGCACATGGTTTGATGTGCACATCTGTGATGCATTATTGTCCCAAAATATCTGCTAAGTGCATCAGATACTTTATTTTTACTTTGCTCTCTGCGTTACTGTTATTGCAAAATATTTTTGGGGGGTGGGAAAAACCGGTCTTAAAATAGCTTCTTTAAAAAGGGTCTGGTTCTTGGTTTTGCAGGGGAAAGGCAACATTTTTCTCTCCTGGAGAGCAGAGAATGACCCTGCTCCTTAGCCCGAGGCAGGACTGGCCGCTCACTGCTAGTAGCTTTGTCCCATGGGCTCCAGCCCAGAGATTCTCCTCTGCCTGTGGGCTGTGCTCCTCGGGGCTCAGCTTCCAAAACAAACTCAAAAGAGGTGACTTTTGTTTTTCATCTTCTTCCTTTCTTCCTCCCTTTCTTCCTGCTTTTCTCTCTCCCCATCCCCCACTTCTTTTCCACTGCTGACATACCTTGCTCCAACTTCCTTTTCTCTCGTTCAAGACCCAAAGAAGACACACTATTTTGACTTAGGGAATATTTACTGAAAAATTAGGCTTCTTGTTGGATTCCTGCATTTGTCTGGGACTGGTGAGAAGATAAAGGGGGTCCAGAAGCTCTGAGAGAGGCCTTGTTTCCAAGGGTGCTGGGACCCATCCATCCATCCATGTTCACCTACTATGTGCCAGGTGCTGCCCTGGACACAGGGGGCACACAGACAATAATGAAAGAGACCCCCTACCCCCGGTTGTATAGTTATATGTACATATTGTCTTCCTAAATGAATGGAAGTTCTTTGAGGGCAGGGGCTGTTTTAATTTTGTCTATGTATCTCTCATTCCTGGCACACAGCAGGTGCTTAATACATTGTTTTTGGTGTGATTCATCTATGAACACAATACCTAGGTTCTAGTTCTACCTGGACTACTACTTCATGGTGGCCAAGCCCCTCCCAACTTAGAGCCTGTTTCTTCTGATAAAATGATTGGTGTATCACGGTAAATGGGTGGTTTCTTATGTTTTCATGATTCTACGAGATCTCACCTCTGCTAGTACAAAGCTTGGTGCCTCTGGGCAAGTCTCTGGCCCAAGGAACTGCTCTGTTTCCCAGTTCACTCATCCATCAGCTGGTGGTTATGAGACCCACATGACTTACCGTGCAGGCCTTCTGTGAGAATCAAATAAAGGAGTGCATGTAGAAATGTGGAACGGAGAAAACGAAGGGGTCTGGTGTCTGCTGTGATTTGAGGCCCCAGGAGTCATTTGGGTCAGGGCATCAAGGAAGTCATGGTGTGATTGGAGTGGGTCATGGTCCCTTTGGAGCTGAGCCCCACTCAGCTCTGTTCCACCTGGCTAGCTCACCAGGTGTGTGTGTGGGGGGAGGGCTACGGGTGAAAAGCCCTCCCCTGAGGCTCCGGGGCTTGGAAAGTTAGATGAGTGTCCCCTGCTGTTTTGGGGGTTTTGTGGAGCTGCCTGAAGCCACACTGTGACCTGCAGCTTGTGACGTTCCTTTTCTGGGCCATACTTCCCTCCCCTGGAAAAGAAAGGGTTGGGCTTAATGATCACGTCGTCCTCCTCCAGCTCAGACAGAATGCACTCTGGGAGACTTGGTCATGAGCAGGAGACTTATTTCGGTCTATACATTTCACAGCCTTAGAGTCAGAAGCACTAGCATCCATTCTTGGGGACCCAGTTTCCTTCTCTATAAACTCAATAATCTTCCATTTTATGATGCAGTGGGTCTCTAGTTTGACTTTGGAAAAGGCATTTTCCATCTCTGAGCCTCAGTTTCCACATCAGTGAAAGGGAGGGTCGATTTAATTGGTGTCTGTCTGGGGTCCCTCCCGATTCTTCATTTTGTTCCCTGTCCTAAAGTTCCTTCCAGCTCTGACGCTGCCTGTTCTGCGTCAGCTCTGTGCCAGTACTGACGTTCTGCTCCACCCTCCAAGGTCCTCCTGGCTCTGATGTTTTCAGAGGCTGGGATTCTTGCTCTGGTCCTTGGGGCCCTTGGTAGTCTGGTGGGATAGCCTGTGAGGTGGCCTCTGAAAGAAACTCAGCTCCTCCCTGGCTGGGGGTCCCTGGGGCCTATGTGGTGATCTGCTGAGTGGAGGGAGTGAAGCATAGCCCAGTGGGGTGGAGTGGAGGAGAGGAGGAGAATGGAAACTCTGGCTCGTTGTCCTGCCCTAAATCCACGAATGCAGGCACTGGTGCAGGAGGGCCCCTCTGCCTGGGCTTGGAGCTGGGCTTTTCCCAGAGGTGGCCCTCTTCCCACTTGTTGCTTTCCCACCCTCTCACATTCTGTCCCAGCCAGTGGTGCTCAAACACAAGCACATCATGGGCTTGGGAATGAACTCACAGTAACCAGAATGTCAGAGGGCCCAGGCTTGAATTCCAATTCTGCT